CCTCACTAGTTTGGCTATCTCCAGAATCGGTTATCTTTGCTTCGTATTATTTGATTTCTTCTTATTAGCTTTTTGGTCACATCTATATAATTTGATTGAAGTAGCAAGTGTTGTACATGGCTTTTGGACATTGACCAATCACCTAAGTACCTGGTTTGCCACCAGCCTAAGTGTTTTCTACGTTTTAAAAATAGCCAGCTTCTCTCACCCGTGCTTTGCCTGGCTGAAGAGAAGAATCGGTAAAGTACTTCTTGTCCTGCTCCTGGGATCATTGTTCTTCTTGTTTAAAAGCCTTTTATTAATAAGCCTAAGTACTGCTTTCTTGGTTGATGCCTATGGAATACTTGAAAGAAATGTCACTTGGTCTTTAGATTTAAGAAAAACTTTGTATTGGAAAGGCTTGTTGATTTTCAGTTTCATCTTCTTGACCCCCTTTCTCCTGTCCCTGACCTCCTTGTTCCTTTTATTTCTGTCCTTGGTCAGACACACCAGGAACTTGAAGCTGAGCTTGAAGGACACAAGGGACCTCAGCACAAAGGCCCATAAAAAGGCCATGAAAATGGTGACTTCTTTCCTTCTCCTCCTCGTAGTTCACCTGTTTTCTAACTTATCATCCGGTTGGCTTTTCGTTTTCCTGGAGAAACATAGCATCAATTTATTTGTAACTTTTACATCAACTCTTTTTCCTTCAGGCCACTCGTTGATTCAAATTCTGGGAAACGGCAAGCTAAGAGAGACAGCCTTAAGACAACTAAAGCACATTCCATGCCGTTTTAAAAGAGGAAACTCTTTAACTTCATAAACAGACTTTTCTAGAATTTTCTATGTTCCAGGCAAATCAAATCACTTCTTTTTCTCTCACGGGAGTCTTTCAGCTGTTATTGAGCATCACTGAAAATTCTCCTGGAATGGGCCATCAACTCACAACTTATATAGCCAGCTGACATAACATCAGATTTTTATCTTTTGAGCGAGTGGTATCATCTTTATACTTCAATCAAGAAGATATTTGAGACTAAGGAAGAATATAAAATGTACAATGCAGCATGTACTTATATGTGCTATTAAATTATATTGGCAGTTTCAATTTTGGGGGAAAAAAGGCCGTGAAGACACTTAAATACCCTCTAAACTGGAGTATGTAGAAGATTTACAGCATTAAATGAAAGATTTCAAAGGGTAGAAGTGTCGGACACCTAGCATCTCATATCAACACATAGAACTTTTAGCACAAAATAGCATTCTACCACGAGGAACCCACGTTTGGATAGACATGAACTTTATAAGATATGAGAAAAGTAAGCTATATTTGTCAAATGAAACCGAGAACTAGGCCCAATGATGGCCATTTTAGACTTTCTAGATACCTTATTTGCTAACTAGTAGGCTTGTAAATGGTGTCTATACTTCAGCTCTAAGAGTAAATGAAGTTATCCCTAAGTACATAAGAATGCTTCCATTTCTCTTGTTGAAGTATCAACATCGTATTTCAACCTTGAGGTTATGTGTATTCCTGGTGTACGTGTCTATGGGTCATATTTTGTCACAGAAAACACCCATCTCACCAGGGATAAGACGCAGAAAGGAGGGTTTCTGAGGGCATACTACATGCGTGTGCACATTTGCGACTGTTGGTATACAGAGTGCTAGTTTGACTTTCAGAATCGAATGAAAATGTACACATGAAGTAAAGCTGTGCTTGCGAAGGACACTCATTTTGAATGCATTGGTTTGGAATATAATGATTTGTAGAGACTGGATACAAACCTATGTGAGAACTAACAATGGAAATCTTTGTCAGGGCTTTCAGTCACCATAGTCCTTTAATGGTAGAAGTGAGTAAAATGAAAATCAAACAAACTGCAGACAACGTTGAAAATACATGGTTGCAAATGAGTTTTTCCGTGCTAGCAGTTCATGCCTGCTGGTGGAAAGAACAGAAGGGTAAAAAAGGGCTTTGTGAAGTGCGCTGACGCCAGGAAGTTGTCCCGCCATCACACTGCGCAGTGCTGGTCTCACGCACTCAGGATGCTGCCCACACGGTGATGAGGGCGAATATACATCCAGATCTATTGGGGACCTTCGGTTTTAAAACCTGTGTTCGCTTTGTTGCCTATGGCCTAAAATTTTTCTTACTGGTTATAAACGGAGACTGTTTTGCTTTAAGAACGGTGAAATTTAGTTAAACTGGCTCTCTTTACAGTTTGAAGGTAATTTGGTTTGATTAAAAGTTAAAAGTGTAAAAAAAAAAGTTGTGTTTTTGTCATATGCAGTTTTAGTTTTTCATTGATTTTTCAATTCATTGTAAACAATTGATGCCTGACAGCCTTAAGTATGTTCAAGATTTTCTTATAAAGGAGTCTTCATCAGGGTTGCTCTCGGATGTCCTACAATTGGCCAACCCCAAATTCCCTAGTTCTGCCCCCCCCCCCAACACTTGTAGACATTCACGAATGTCCTTTGAGCTAGCAACTGTTCCAACAGCATTGCTGAAATATGTATTTGTGGGGAGTAGGACTGGGGAGAGGCCTTGCTTTCTCTTGTAAAATGTTTTCTGATCTATTATGGTCCCAAACCTCCTGGGCAACAGGCTGTCAAAAAGAAAAAAATTCCCCACCCTTAGTAATTAAGCTAGAAGGATATGACTCAACCAAACCTAATTATTAGGGATTCTAATAGTGCAGTTAGTTACCATTACCTTACGAAAGTTAACCTCTCTAAATCCTAGTCTCTTTATCTGAAACGTTATGATTCAAGTATTTCTTAAAATGTACTTTTGAGAATTAGAGAGACATGTGTAGGTAATAACACTGCATAGTTCCTGGCAGTAAGAGTTAAAATAAAGGCCTAACGTGCAAGTGTTCAGTATTAAAAATACAGTAAAGCTTAACAGTGATGATGGTGGAGCTATGGCCTTTTAGTAATCTCATTTCTTTTTTTTGCCTTAAAGAAATTCTTCCTCCTTAAACCTTAGATTATGTATGAAACAATGATTACTTCCTTTTTAATGGACTATAAAAGCAGTCACAAAGAGTCATCAATTCTCAGCATTTTTATTACATTTTATAAACCATTTACAAAAATTGGTTACCTTCCCATCTACTCTCTGCTGCTTCATGCTTGAGGGGTCTCTTGGGCCAATCAAATCTACAGTGGAAGGAAAGCTCAGTTGAAGTGACCTTAACACTGAGGTTAAACACATTTTTGTTTCCTTTACTGCTAAGAATGTGTAGAAAAACCAACTAAATTGGAATTCGCTCAATCAACAAATCTTTATCTATGTTCTAGGCTTCGAGAACTAACAATGTCTTTGGCTTTGTATAGGTTTATCTAGAAGGGTTCCAAGAGGAAGGAACTTATTTACAAATCGGAGCAAGTGGTTTAATGGAGGTTTGGTTAGAACAAATGGACAAAAATCTTTTTTTCTCCCCTGTGAAGATTTTATTGAATTTCATGTGGCAAGAAAAAGACACCAGATTAATTGTGAAGCATGAATGGTAAATCGGGAGTCCAGGTGGAGTAGTCGTTATGCCTAGAGATGTTAACTGTAAGGTCAGCAGTTCAGCTAATCTGTTCCCATAATGAGTCAGTCGTGGAAACTCACTGGGGCCAGTTCTACCAGCCTATAGGGTCGCAATAGGCTCAGTGGCAGTGAGATTTTGGTTTACACATACGCAGCCTTGGTTTTGCAGTGATTGGTGGATTGGCTGCTAACCTAAAGCTAGACGTTTCTGAAATCTAATAGCCACTGAGAAAGATTTGGCACCTGCTTCTGTAAAAAAATCTAGTTTTGGAAGCCCGCTGGGGACAGTTTACTTTGTTCTAGGGTCTCAGTTGGGAGAGAGAGGCTTTCTACTTCTGTATTCTCAGAAACCCACAGGGCCAGCTCAATCCTGTCCCATAGGATCGATCTGATGGCAGGATGTGAAGGTCTCTGTATTACAGTCAACTCCATGGCAATGGCTTTGCAGATGCTACTGAACTGCATACAATATTTTACCCACGTTCAAGTGCCTTTAATTCCTTTAGTTTAACAAATGACTGGTCTGAAAAGAATAAAGTACATGCTCTATCCATTACCTAACTCACCATTCCATGCCAAACAGAGCAAACTGTCATCACGTTGGGTTGACTTAGTGATCCTGTAGGACAGAGGAACCCTGCTCCCGGGGCCTTGGATGCTGCCATTGCTATGGGAGCAGAGTGCGGCGACTTTCTCTGGTGGAGCAGCTGGTGGATCCAACCACTGACCTTGGGATGAGCAGCCCCTCTGTAACCCATGGTAGCCCCAGGGCTCCTTGTTCCAGGATAGCAGCAGCCAAATTTGTTTATATTTCAATTTGGCATAATAAAGCCTCTAGAAATAGGGAGAGCCTCCATCTTTAAGGACCCTGGTATTGTCTCACTGAACTGTTATTACTTTAGGCTCAAATGTGTTGGCTTCATCACAGTGACATATAATTTCCAAAACAAAGTATTCTGATTCAGGTAAACCTGCTGTCTTGGGCATTGCTGTTTGCCTTTCCCCCAGACATTCCTGGGGAACAAATGTGCATCTAAGCACAAACTTAGGCAATAGATGAAAATGGTATCGGTGGGTATGAACACATCCTTACATGGATTAAAGGTTATCTAATTTGTTAAAAGGGATGTGAGTGAAACAATGGAAAAGGTGATTTCTAAGCTTTCTCTTAAAACATGGGTAGAATTTCCATCTGTAAAAAAGAGCAGAGAGAGCAGAATAAAGTGGGAGCAGGAAAGAGGACGGTAGGCCTTGCTGGAGACAAGGAGTCAACAGCAGGAGGAAAGCCAGGCAGTGCTGGAAGGCGTGCTTCATTTCACACGCTGGCGTGTATTCGTCTGTTGGACACAATGAGTGAAACGCAGAGTGCGGAGAGATTACCTTGGCAGTACTGGTCCAGATGTCGTCCTAAGGGCTCCCTCTAGTCAGTACCCTGCTTGTCTCCTCTGGGACTAACAAACGCTACTGGAACAAGAACTTTTCACATGTGTACATTTTATTCACAGTTTAACATGGCATTCTGTAGTAACACACATACACACACAATTTAGTTTACCGTGGACTAAGGCAGGGTTATTTCTAATTTTCACACAGACATTTAACAGGTGAGGAACCTGTTTAGATAGGTTAATAGACAGATTAATAAGCACATAAGACTACAAAACTACAGAGGTCTGCTTGAATGAAAAACTCAATCCCATTCTACTCTTGTGGCTCATAACTAGTGTTGTACACTTAAATTATCTAGAGGGAATCTGAAAAGGAGATGTATTGAAGTTTTAATCAAAGAAATATATATAGTTCAAAAAATCCAACAGCAGTCACCTGCCTCTCCCTACCCAATTTCTGCTTTCTTTCCTCCATACAACCAATCTGAACTCTTAACTGCTTATCAGTGACCTCTTTTCACGTCAAACTTGTTTACATTCGTTTCTTGACTTTTCTGTATTAGGTCTGAATTCATTCCCCAAGACACTTTCCCTCGGTGGTTAAAGAAATCCACCTGGTCTGGTTGAGTATATTCCCAGGCATAGTGACTCTGCAGGACAGAGTCCAACGGCCCCGGAGTGCCTCCCTGGCATTATCTTTACAGAAGCTGACTGCCACTTCTTTGTCCTACTCCGAGGGGACGGTGGGTTCAAACCAAAGACCAGTCAGCAGCCACAGCCTAGCATTTAACCACTCCACCCCCAGGGGCACTTGTTGACTTCATTCAAAATGAGGACTGGCACAGTGACTGCAACAGTGGGCTCAACAGCAAGGGTTTGGGGCGGGAGCAAGACCTGGCAGTGTTTCTTTTTCTGTACACAGGATGGCCGAGTTCGAACTGACTTCATGGCATCGAACACTATGACTACGACTATTCACAGTTGAGGCATGTAGTGTATTGTTAAATTACTTTGCATTTTGAGAAGGGCTCATAATTGCCTCGGTTTTTAAATGTAGAGATTACTAATCCACCTACACTCTTTGAAAAACTAAACTCTGTTTCAATTCAAATATATCAGCTACTCTCGTGTCGTCTCCCTTCATCTTTCTTCGTTAGGCAATTCCTGTGGACTTCAGGCCCTCCTTCCCCAAGACAGTGACACGGATTTCTTACTTGGACTCCTTTAAACAGTCAAATACATCTTTCTTCTCAACACACAGTATCACTTCAATTCTCACTTTCTAAGGACACAATTACCCGTCTCCCCCTCCCCAGCACGCCCAATTGCCAACCATACAATGACATTTGCATTCTAGTTTGTAATTACAATTGTGTTCCGCTAAAAAAAAAAAAAAAAAGGAAAATCGTAATTTCCGGTATTTAAATATTAAATGAATGCTAAGCGTTGTCTTTGGGTTTTCTTCTTTGGCGTCAAGGTCTTGATCCAATTACTACTACTCAAAGGGAGACTGAACTCGAATCCGTTTGTTTACATTCGCATCTGTTCGAAATCCTGCAGCGTTTTTACGGTTTTTGTTTCGAGGAATGCCTTGTTGGTAGTTTTCATTGTTTTGTTCAGAGTCTCTAATTGTCATTGCTTTCTTTTGTGGGAGAAATTATATCCCGTCCGTATGACATTTCTATTTTTCTCGGCTTCTTAGCCATTCAAATGTATTGCTTACAATCCAATCCAATATTCCCGAAGTTCACCGACCTCTCATTTTAATTCTGGCCATCGCTTGCCGTTCGTTATTTTTTTCTGACAAATCTAGTAGCCTTTCATGTATCCTGCGCCCTCGGTCACATTGAGTCCGTCCTACTTTTATTGATGGGTGGATAACGTCTGAAATATTTCCGGGGGGTCTTACTCTAAGGGCTCCGCGTTCTGGGGCTCACGCAGGGGCCGTTGGGGGTCATGGGGGGGGGTGTCATCCGGGGCGTGGCCGAGGCGGCTCCACAACATCTCGCGAGATCGCGCGCTGCGCAGTCGGCCGCTGCCCCTTCGGGTCGCCAAGGAGTCGCCACCGGGCCGCCCCGCCCCGCCCTGGTCGCTCTAGATGTGTACCTGCAGGCGGATGTTCAGGATGATGGAGCCCGCGATGTAGAAGTACGGGAAGTTCATGCGCAGCTGCCAGGCCAGGTGGAAGAAGGCGAGCAGGGTGCGAGAGAGCCCCTTGCAGAAGACCCCGTACGAGCCGGTGACGGCCGGGCCCATGGCCCTGACGGCCAACGCCGAGGAAGCTGCCTCCATAGCCATGGACCCGGCGTGGCTGAAGGCCGTGCGGAGCCCTCGCCCGAAGCTGGACCGACGAGACTGGGGACACTGCGGCCGCTGGGCTCGGAGCTGCGCCCGCTGGGCTCGTAGCTGCGCCTCCCGCATGCGCGCTGGCCGGTCCGCAGTGCCCGCGCCCCGCCCAGCGGGCGCGCCGCCCCTTCCGGTCTGCTTTCCGAACGGTGTCTGCCACGTAGAGTTTGATACGTGGTCGGTGTACCCCGAACCACTTACCTGGGTTTTGACATTGTACCAACCCAAACCAGCCCCACTGCCACGGACCCTATAGGAGACGGTAGAACGGTGGCTTAGGGCCTCCGAGATCTTCACCGGAGCAGCGCGCCATCGAGTCGATTCCGACGCGTAGCCACCCCGTAGGACTGGGAGGAACCGCGCCTGCGGCTTCTGAGTCGTTCTCCCTCGGTGGTTGGTGGTTTCGAACAGCAGGCTAACGTGTAACCACTGTGTAACCTGGTGGGCTTGAATTGCCAACCTTGAGCTTAACGGTCCAATGCTGGACCCATGGCGCCACCCATACACATACACACGTAGATCTCCTCTTCAAAATGAAGAATGGAAGCTAAGTAAATTTATGTTTCACTTTTGCACAGGGCGAAGCCTAGATTAGCTGTTGGTTTGCTTGCTCCTGCAAAATTGCATGTGACCTGGGATATTAACCCGGAATTTAAAAAAATTCACACTGTTAACTTGCATCGAAGGGCATAATAAACCAGCCTGGGTACAAAGACCCATATTCTTAACATTCCATTACTGTGAAGGACCACCATCTCAAAATGAATTGTTTATAATGGACTATTCAGATTTTCTTTAATTGGAAAGGATGATTTCAATTCTGACAAATTACATACTGACAAGCAATAGAGGAGAATTTTTTTTTGTATCATAATGTCGCATTCCCATCTATATAAATCCATGAAAAGTTCAGGCAGGTGAGGTGTGAATGCTAAAGTCATTTTTATGCATGGAGAAGCACCTGTGAAACATAGCTAGGGTCCAAGGTTTAGAATATTACTCATATTCACTTCCAAACCCCAAATACTCATAATGGATCTTTCATTGTCAATGATACTTTTCTGGGGTTATAGGAGACACTTTTTTTTTTTTAAACATTTTATTAGGGGCTCATACCACTGTTATCGCAATCCATACACACATCAATTGTGTAAAGCGCATTTGTACATCCTTCTCAAAACATTTTTTCTCTCCACTTAAACCCCCGACATTAGGTCCTCATTTTCCCCCTCCCTCCCCGCTCCCCCCTCCCGCATGAGCCCTTGATAGTTTATAAATTGGTATTTTTGTCATATCTTGCCCTGTCCGACGTCTCCCTTCACCCACTTTTCGGTTGTCTGTCCCCCAGGGAGGAGGTCACATATAGTTCCTTGTAATCGGTTCCCTCTTTCCTACCCATTCTCCCTTTATCCTCCCTGTTTCGCCACTCACACCACTGGTCCTGTAGGGCTCATCCGTCCTGGATTCCCTGTATTTTCAGTTCCTATCTGTACCAGTGTACCTCCTCTGGTCTAGCCAGCCTTGCAAGGTCGAATTCGAGTCATGGTAGTGGGAGCGGGGAGGAAGCATTTAGGAACTAGAGGAAAGTTGTATTTCTCATCGTTCGGAGACACTTTTAAGTGATGCACATTTCTTTACCTTTCCCACGCTCCCAATTTAAATGGCAAGCTCTGTATTTTTCACCATAGACAATCTATAGCTACTGTATGGATTATTCACATATGTGGTCTTTGATCACAGCTTTTAGATTGTAGTCTAGTTTTGAAAACACTGTTCAAATATCTCATCTCACCCAGTACCACATACTGATATTAGTCAAAAACAGTCTCCTAGCAACATCTGCCAGTTTCCAGAACAAGACAGCACAGTGAATCACATCATGCTGAAGCACGTAATCGGATGCAACATTGGAGATGATGATCTATGTGTGCCTGAAAATGGCATAATGGAAATGTTGTCTTGGCGTCCTCTAACTTCACAAGGCCTGAGGAGAATAATTATCAGCACCAACCATCCAAGGCTAATTCCTATGAGTGGGAAGTGAGCCGTGTCTTCTCTCTCCAACTGTTTGACCACCTCAGATGGCTACCCCTCCTATGCCACTCTGTATTTCTCTGCTGGTTATATCGTTGGTTGACTGGTTATACAGAACACACAGAGAATACAATTATGGAGTTTATTTGGGAAGTAAGTTACAAAACTTGGGATCAGAATAGACTCAGGATACAGTTCCATAGTTGGAATACACTCTTCTCATCTGTGCTTACAAGCAAGTCTCTCCCTGGCCCTCAGCCTCTTGACCCTTGGCCCCTCTTGGATTGGTCCAGTCCTTCCCCTTCTCAGGAAAGTGTTACAAAACTCTTTAGTTCCATGTGAAAGTTCCCAGAAGCACCCAGCTCAAAACACAAGCTCTCGCCTGAAGGTACTTGTTTTCTTGCTCTCGGAGTTGGGGAGCCTAGCTCTATCAAGTGCCCAGAGATACTAAGCTCCACCTAGTGTCCTGCCTGAAGGTGTTGGTTCTCCAGCTTCATTGGGTGGCTCACACTCTGTAACTGCCTGGCTTATGGAGTGGCTTTCCTACATCTGCTGCTAATGTAAATAAAGCGTATGGTACCCTTGTGGCGTGGAACTATGCAAATAAAGTACATGGAACCTAATAAGGGGATTAATCAGCTTTGCCATCCTACTAGACTTAAAACGAACCATCCCAGAGGTGGAAAGAAGGGCCCCTAACCTCTACCAGAGCTCTGTTCAAATATTTCATCTCACCCAGCACCGCATACTGATATTAGCTAGTCAAAAACAGTCTCCTAGCAACATCTGCCTAAGACATAAGGGGTTACATATTAGACTGCTTAGCACAAGGTCAACAGTTCAAACATGCCAACTGGTCATAGAGTGAAAAAATGAGGCTTTCCGCTCCCATAAAGATTTATAGCCTTAGAAATCCACAAGGGAAAATTCATACAATATTTTGCCCTTTGTCCCTGACATAGTTCACTCTCAAAATAAATTCCCTGCCATTGAGTCTGATGTATAGCAACCGTGTCGGGCAGAGTTGAATTGTCCCTGTGGGTTTCCAAGGCTGCAAACCTTTACAGGAGCAGAAAGCCTCACCTTTCTCCTTCACAGCGGCTGGTGGTTTCAAGGTTTATTTGAGTTGTAGCATGTTTTAGGACTTCATTTCTCTTTGTGGCTGAGTAATATTCCTTTGTATGTACATGCTACATTGTATTTATCCATTCATTTGTTGACAGGTATTTGGACTGTTTACCCCCTATGACTATGATAAAGAGGGCTGCAGTGGGAAATTGCTGTTCAATATCTGCTTTCTGCTTCAAATTCTTTTGATTTGCTTGAAGATACACCTACGAGGTCTTTCTTTGCTTTATGCCAGGAATTTTTAGTGCATATAGTCTGGCATTGTAATTCTCATAGTCTTATAGCTAAACACAAATGTCCTCACATATCTAGAGAGAATTTTCTTTAAAAACAAAACGCACTTCGGTGGTAAGTTAGGTGAAGATTTACAGAGCACATGTGTGAGATGATGCATACCCATTTTGCTGCATCTCATGTATGCAATCCCTTCAACCAAACATCACTTAAAACACTGTCTTCCTGTGCTTCCTGTTTCCATTTCCCCAAAACTCTATTATTTTCATGGACAAATATTTACCCGACCACAAGCAAAAATGTATTTACTGTGTCTTTAAACTTCCATAACCGGAGACACAGTAAAACCTTTCTTTGCTTGAAAGAAACAAATGGTAAGATGTGATTAAGAATATAGCCCTGGAGCTGCACCGATCTGTGTTTAAATCTGGGCTATGCCATTGCCTAAAATTGTACTTACTTCCTGAAGTCCTCCATTTCCATATGGGAGAATCACAAAGAGGCTCCTGGGTGGTTCAAATGCCAGGCTTTCATGAGATGATGCAAGCTAATGCTCAGAGCAGGTATTATTATTACCTTAAAATACAACAGATCCTGGAATAGTCACTTTGAAAATCATTACACTTATATTGGAAGCCTTTAAAAAATATTGTAGTGTTATCATTCACTCCTGAGAATCAAATGTGATCGCCACGACAATGGCTGTTCCTATACACATAATGTGCATTCCTGCTTAAATGTAAGACCTACGGAGTGTTTTTGCACAATACTTCACATGCATTTATGTGAGCCATTCTAGTTTAGCGGAAGCATATTCTGAGCTTTACAAGCCCATAAAGATTTACAAGCTTCCCATCATGCAATACAGCCTCTGCAACGACCCATAATAAACGGATGTGTGTAACAGTGACACAAACACAAAGGTGTCCTGTAACTCATATATTATACACAGATATCTTTTAAAGAGGACTTTCAGACTTAAATATTGGAGCCTGTAACTGGAGACTTATTATGCTGCTGCTGAGTATTTGGATTTTATCCCCAGGAGTCCTGACAGAGCAGTGGGATCCCTGATGGTCAGGTGGACCTCCTCCTGTCCCTTTAAGATGTGCGCACGAGTGGAGGGAAAGATGGCTGAGGAACAAAGAGAAAAGTGAACTGGAGGCCTAGCACCTACTTATATCAAGTTCATATAAATCTTTATTTGAAAAAGGGGGCGATGTATTACATCTTTTAAAAAGAAAAGAAAAGTAAAAAAACCCCAAAAGGTTGCAAATACTACACCAATCCAAATTTTAGGGAGAGCGTGCAATCGGGAGCATTCCTTTTCACGTAAGTAGCGCAGCACGGCAGGCCACAGCAAGGGCATGGTTCCAGCCCACTGTTGATTGTGACGAATCCTCAGGCTCACAATTGCTAGCTGTCAACGCGGGGACAGGCTGGCGGTGGGAAGTGGCAGCGACTACAGTACAAGGAGCAGTGCAGGAAACAGAGTTCCGATTCTCAAAATGGTGGTGCGAGCCACAGCGCTCGGTCACGTAGCGGCTCTGTTCTTCAGGGGGCGGTAGCTGGGGCCCACATGGTGCGCTGTGCATCTCACACCTTGACCCACCCTGAAAGCGGGTGTGTGTGTGTTCGCGCATGCG